AAGGTTCATAAGTTTGACCGGGAGTTGACTTTGATGATATCGGGTTCGGACTGTGGTTCCGAAAATTTCAGTAGCTTTGTTATGTCATTTATGACTTGTGTGCAAAATTTGAAGTCATTCTGGATTGATTTGATACGTTTCAGCACGAGTTTTTGAAGTTGGAAGATTCAAAGTTCATTAAGTTCGATTTGATGTGCGATTCATGATTTTGATGTTGTTAGGTGTGATTTGAGGTATCGAGTAGGTCCGTATTATGTTATGGAACTTATTAGTATATTCGGATGGGGTCCCAAGTGGCTAGGGTGTGTTTCGGGGTGAGTTTTGAACGAGTTTGGCCATTTCGGCACTCTGGTGATGTTTTGGAACAATCTAAGTGCGGAGGGCACATTTTTGAAGTGCAGAGGCAAAGCCCATGTGCGGCCGCAAACTCCCAATGTGCGGACCACAGAGAAAATGTGCGGACCGCAGAAATCCTCTTGCGGCTGCAGAAAGGAGAATCTGCAGGTTTGATAGTTTGACTTCGTAAGCTTATATCTTTTAAACTATAAGGAATTTGGAGATGATCTAAAAATAAAAGTTGTATCCCTTTGAGTCTAGTTTCTATAAAGTTAAACCATTCATCATTTGTACATTTGTATAGAAAGTTATGGTAAAATTACTAAAGACTGGTAGTACAGTCACTGCTGAAGTGCGACCGCACAATTTGGATTGCGGCCGCGGAACCTGGAATGTGCGGCTCGCACAAAAAAATGTGCGGTCAACATAATGGGAGATCAGATTTATGTACTTTATAAACGAGGGTTAGAGTATTATTCCACATTTGAACTCTGGGAGCTCGGTTTGTGGCAATTTTTTGTGGATTTTTCAAGAAATTCATCGGGGTAAATGATTCTCACTCGGATTTGGTTTATATATACGAATATATCATTGTTTTCATCATTTAATTAGTATATTGAGAGGGAAAGTTGGAGAAAATTGTAGAAACTTCATAAACTATAATTTGAGGATTTGAAGGTCGAGTTGTGATCGGATTTGACTAATTTTAGTATGGTTGGACTCGTAATTGCATGGGTTGCCGGATTTTTGTGAGTTTTGTCGGGTTCTGAGAAGTGGGCCCCACTATTGACTTTTAGTTAACTTTTCGAGCGGAATTGAAATTTTTTATAAACTATTAAATTGTAAGCATTGGAGTATGTTTAGATTAATTTGCACGTTGTTTGACTAGTTTCGGATCATTCGGCTTGAATTGAGGAGATAGGAAGGCATTCAAAGTTTGATACGTGCGGAATGGAATTTCTGGGGCATTGTTTAGCTTGCTCGGCGTTGGATTCGGCTTGTTCGAGGTAAATAATACTTCTAAACTTGGAGCTGAGGGTATGAACCCTGAATAAACGTGTTATGTGATTTGTTTGGAGGTGATGGGTGTGTCGGCGTGCACCGTAGAAATTGTGACGTAATTGATTTCGTAGAATTGTGTAGTCAAATAATTGTGGCATTATCCATGTACTTTCACGTGTTAAAGAAATTGAGTTGAGAATCATATTAAAAATCGTGCTGAGGCTATATGCCAGTATTATTGAGACCCGTAGAAGTCGTATTGTTGTAGAATTATTTATTTAAATTGTAATTTCATACTCAGTCATGTTTATTCATTTCATATCATATCTCAGTCTCGGTTGCTATTTATTGTTACATGAAATCATCATTTTTGGGCTTATTTCGATGATATTTTTTAGCCCGAGAAACCGGAGAGATTGATGACTGAGTGAGGCCGAGGGCCTAATTGTAAGGATATTTATGGGATCGGGATGCACGCCGCAGTAAGTCATATTGGCTTTATACATGTTATTATTATGTGGATCGGGTTGCATGCCGCAGCAGGTCAGTTGGCTTATTATAGCGCTTGGGTTGAAGGATCCCCTCCAGAGTCTGCACACCCCAGTGAGCGCAGGTACCTACTGAGTGCAGTGCGAGTGCCGAGTGATTTGGGAGGATTGAGTGACTGTGATGCATGAGTGACTGTGAGGATTGAGTGACTGGGGGACTGAGTGACTGGGAGGACTGAGTAAATTGATACTCTGAGAGTATGCATATGGTTTTATCACTATGTTGCATTGCATTTGATATGCGCACTTGACATACATGCATGGAGATGTATTTTTCCTCGTTCCATTTGATAATGAAATTTCTTATTGTGGAAGATTACTTTTGGAAAAAATTACAGCTTTCAAAATTTCCCATATTTCGGTGATTTCGGCAAAAGATTCGAGATTTACTGTTATACTTGAAAAGCAAATATCTATTTTCCTGAACTATGAACGAGCTGAGCACTTTATTGTTGAGTTATTATTTGTGTTACTTTCATTATATTGTTATGGACTGTTGCTCGTTAGTGGTGTTGGACTCTGACCTTTGTCCCAGCTTGTCACTACTTTCAACCTAAGGTTAGGTTCGTTACTTATTGAGAATATGTGGTTGATTGTACTTATACTACACTTTTGCACCTTGAGTGTAGATTTTGGATGTTGATGTTGTTGTGTATGGCGGGAGATGGCATTGGAGATGTACCTGCGATCCGGTCATAGCTGCCTCTTGTTCTTGGTAGCTTTAGAATGATTAATCTGTTAATGTATATTTCAAATAGATGATGTATTTTATTTCATACCAGCTTTGTAAATTCTAAATCTTAGGAACTCGTGATTTGTACTACCAGTCCTTTGGGAGTGTATTAAAGTCATATATATTATCATTTATTTTCTTAGTAAATCACATTAATTTGGAATGTTGATTAATTGGCTTACCTAACGGGTTTGATTAGATGTCATCACGAGTAGTTGAATTTTGGATCGTGACAAGTATGGATAAATAGTAAATATTAGAAGAATGAAAAAACATTGAAGGCTAATCCAACTAAAAACTCATTGTGATATATGGACATTCCAAAAAGAGTCATGGAACTTTAGTAGGTCTTAGCTGGGAAAGTTTGATCAGATCAATTTCTCACGTCTGACTTATTATGGTTTAGAGTTTAGACTATTAAATTTGCCTAATATTGTGGGACTTCTGTGTTCCTTTTATGCCTCACGATTTGAAAATCAGTAATCTCTCTTTCAATTATAAATAAATGGAGACTTTTTTAGAGCTAGATTCAGAATTTTAAATCAGTTGATGTGAAGTATTACTGTACTTGTTATCCTTTTGTTACAATATAGGTGTCGATTTAGTATAAATATAGAATTTTCAAAAAAGTTTTTAGTCGAACTGCGTAACATTCAAAAGCAAGAGAGCATTTCTTTGCTTTAATTCCAGGCGATGTTCTTGTCTAAACCGGTGTTACACCAATTATTTGTTCTATTATTGAAGGGGGATTTACATCTATACCCGCATTTTGTGTCACGTTTTAACTTATGTCCGCTTTGCAAAAAAAATTGCAAGTGTACCCGCTTTTTCGCATAACTTCAACATACGAGGCTGAAGTAGCAAAGACAATCACGCAAAACTTCAGCATTCTAGTAGACGGGCCTGAAGTAGCAAATGTAACTGGCGAACTTGAGCTCTAGAGCTGAAGTTTTTGTTTTGTAACTGGCGAACTTCAGCTCTAGAGCTGAAGTTTTTGTTTTAGTAACTAACGAACTTGAGCTCTAGAGCTGAAGTTTTTGTTTTGTAATTGTCGAACTTTAGCTCTAGAACTGGAGTTTTTGTTTTGTAACTGGCGAAGTTTTTGGAATTATAAAACAGTATCAAGAACAATATAATATTGTTCTAGGAGCATAAAACTCTCCAGCTTTGTCCTTCACTTTCTCTCAAAGGGCCTTTTTTTTTATTCAACCCATTGCTGATAAAAACGTAGAGTATAAAATATATATGAAGGACTTTCAGAAAGAGAAGTGTATTAGGAATAAAGATAAGTCTACATATTAACTTTTCTCTGTTACAGTTAAAAAAAATTATTTGCTTCGACCACACCTTCATAACACAACAAATCAAAAAGAAAGTCATTGAGGGCATTACAATTCCAATTCACAGGTCTTTTGGAATTATAAAACAGTTTGACAGCATCACCAAAAAACATTTGGTAAGGAAGCTTTGAATTTCTTTTAATGGAACTATCGGAGGAGAAAGGGAGCTGAAGTTATTTAAAAAGTGGGTACAAGTTAAAAGTTTTTAAAAAAATGGATATAGATTAAATGGGGGCGACCAAATAGGACGCCCCGTGCAATTTTTACATTATTGAACCCCAAATCAAAATTGTAGTTTTGATCGTGTTGTAGGCTTGCATTAAGCGTCTAGTATCAGAAACCCACTAGCCAAATAATTTGCACCTAAAAGGCCCTATCTAAAGATTTTGTATAACTGGAGCTCGGTCTCGGAGTTTCTTATCAAGGTTTGAAGGGATCTTTAGTTCTTTACCATCTATTGCATTGAAAATAGGGGAAAAGACAGGAGTATCTATAAAAGTGAAATTATTTACCATGCCCTACTCATAAAAGAATTCTATCTACTAAATAATTATAATCTCCAACCCATTAATAAATAAACGGGAATATCAAAATAACTACCCACGCTTAATGCCCTAACTATAAAAACCCAAAAGCTGCTCAAAGTTTCAGAAAATAAGCGCACAAAATTGAGATTTCCATAGACATTCCCTAATTTGAAGATCGCTAAGTGTGAAAAAACAGATCGGAGATGCTGATACGCATCTTGTTTTCGGATTTTTATTTCGCTGTTGTTTTGAGATTTTGATTTCCCTGTTGTTTTCGGATTTTGATTTAGCTGGCAGAGCAGAATCTCAAAAATTATAAGTATTACAGAAGTTTAGCGCTCAAACTTCTGAATTTTTAGCTGAAAATTCTAATCTCGGTTTGGCGATCTGGAGATCTAGAGGTTTGATTTCGAAAAATCTGTTGTTGAAATTCAATATTTGACATCAAACACTGTTGAAATTTGCATTGTTGAGATTCAATTTTGGACATAAAAGTGATTATAACTTCAGAATCATGGAACATATACCAATTCTGCTGCAGCATAGTGGAGAATGGGATGATAACAATAATTTCATAAATTTTCATGTTGATGCAATTCTAATAAAGACCTATTGGAAATTTGAACAACTTCTCAGAGAAATTGCAAAGCAACTGCAAAAGGACAGTAACACAATAGTTATTCAGTATGCTATTGCTCAAGGATATCCACCAATTACAATTTGCAGCGATATGAGTGTTAGTGTTTACATGGAATTGAAAAAATCAAGTGCAGGGATGACAACACTTCCCCTGTGTGTGTCGTTTGCTAAAAACACTATAGATACAAGCACCTCCAGTTTCGATGTTGCTCCAATTTCATCAGAAATTGCACAATTTGAAAGTACTGATATGATTAGTACGTTTGATGTGCAAGAAGGAGATGACGCCATTTTACAACTTGATGATGCAAACATCATAACTGATCAATTTCATCAAAATGTTGAAAAAGGACAAATTTACAAAGACAAGAACCTGCTGGCTCTCGTTATAAAACAGTATACCGTTAGAGAAAAATGTCAATATCGTATTCATAAATCATGCCCAAGAAGGTTCGTCAGCATGTTTTCAAGTAAAAAACTATGTGATACCTATATAGTATATAAGTATGCTAAAGCAGTATACTATGCGAGTATGAATTGGTTTGTCTGTGTTTTTTATCAGTGATACTGGTATAGTATATAAGTATGCTATATCAGTATACTATGCAAGTATATAACTGTATTGGTTTGTCTTTGTTATTATCAGTAAAACATAATACCAATATAGTATATATGTATGCTAAATCAGTATACTATGTGAGTATAGAATTGTGCTGCTTTGTCTATGTTTTTTATCAGCAAAATATGATACTGATACAGTATATAAGTATACCAACAGAGTATACTATGTGACTATATAATTGTACGGATTTTTGTGTGTATTTTTTATCAACAAAACATGATACATAACTGTATTTGTATTATAAACAGGTTTATCCTTGAATGCGTGGATGAAAGATGCACTTGGAGACTTAAGGCATCAAGCCTGCGAGCATCAAATCTTTTCAAAGTGACGGATTTCAATTCTGTCCACAGTTGTTTAACTGATAAGAGATTTTGTTCACAAAAGCAAGCTGTCTCAGCTTTTGTTGCAGCTGTGGTACAAGATAAACTTGTTGACCCGAAAAACATATATACACCAACAGATATCCAGAGAGACATCCAAAAAGCATATGGTATGGACTTAAGCTACATGCAAGCGTGGAGATCAAAAGAAAAAGCAATGCAATTGTTGAGAGGAAAACCAAGTGAGTCATACAAGAAAATGCCAACATATCTTTATATGTTAGAGTGCGCTAACCCAGGATCAGTGACACGACTACACACTGAAGGAGATGGGAGCTTCTTGTATGCATTCATAGCTATATATGCATCGATTAGAGGATGGGTCTATTGTAGGCCAACAGTTGTAGTTGATGGAAGTTTTTTAAAGTCAACATATAGAGGGACCATACTCACGGCTTCCACGCAAGACGCAGAGGGTAAGAATACAATCCAGTTACATTCAGTTAAAGAAACAAAAGATTTTCAAATATTATATGATACCAGTATGGTATACAAGTATACCAACAGAGTATATAGTTATTTTGCTACATAGCTGTACGTACCTATGACTATACTACTATATGAAACACTAAATTAATATTGTGTGTACAATCCAATTACATTCAGTTAAAGAAACAAAAAAGATTTTCAAAAATTATATGATACCAGTATGGTATACAAGTATACCAACAGAGTATATAGTTATTTTGCTGCACACCTGCACCTACCTATGACTATATATTTTGTTCTTTGGGTTTACAGGACAAATTCTACCCCTCGAATATGCAGTTGTTGATTCGAAAAATGATGCATCGTGGGAGTGGTTCTTCGTGCAGTTCAGAGAAACCTATGGACAAAGAGAGGGAATATCAGACAGGCATGATGGTATATGGAGATCAAGTTCAATCATCTATCCAGAAGTCCCTCATTGTGCATGTATGTTCCATTTGTGGAACAACATAAAGACAAACTTCATGAAGAGCCAAAAACAAATCAAAGAAGTATACTTTGCGTTAGCAAGAGCATACACTGTTGAAGAATTCAACAGGCATATGGCAGAGTTAGAAGCTATTGATAGTAGAGTGAAAACATACCTGATGGATATTGGATATGATAAATGGTCCCGGGCGCATTCCAAGGCAAATAGAACCATGACCATGACATCGAATATTGCGGAATCAGTAAATGCAGCAAATAAGCACGCAAGAGACCTCCCAGTTGTGAATTTGCTCGACTTTATGACAACATTGATTCAAAAATGGAATTACACCAATCGGAAGGATGCAGTGGAATCATTTATGATGATTGGTGCAAAGTATGAAAAAATATTATCAGATAATACTATCTTATCACAGACGATGACGGTATGCATTTTCAAAATCATAAAAATACTGCATGTACTGTAGTTTTACTTTTTTACCTTAGTGATTTCACTAAACAACTGAATATTATTATTTGAAAAATACTATTACTTCGTATAGCTAATGACTTTTCTTAATTAAAATTATACTAGGTGTTGCCATCAACTGAATTCTTACATTTAGTAATTGATGGCCAAACAAGAAATGTGGTGCGCCTACATGAAAAAAACTGCACTTGTGGGAGGTTTCAGCTAGACGATATTCCATGTCCACACGCAATGGCAGTTATACAAAAATTCCATATGGATTCATACAAGAATTGCTCGGATTACTATAGCATAGAGTACTTGCTGAAAACATATGAGATACCAGTAAATCCTTTGCCTGATGAAACAACGTGGCAAATTCCAGAACATGTCTCTTCGCAGGTGGTACTGCCACCAAAAGGAAAAATTAAACCAGGAAGACCTAAAAAGAAGAGAGGCATAGGAGGCTGGGAAGGAAATACAGTTACATGTGCACTATGCGGGAGAAAAGGACACAACCGGAGAACATGCCAAAATATTCCAAAGAGAGATTGATATAATGCTTCAATCTTTTCATAGAACTCATATATCGTAGAATCATAACATTTGAATTGCAAAGAAATAAAATGCATTACTTGCACTAGACATATATTTGGTATGATGATTCTTTGCGAAATTACTTTTTGGAAACAAATTTATATGGCTACTTGTGTTTTCAAGAAGAACCTGTTTATTTTCTATTTTAGTATACAAAAGTGGGATGCATTTAAATCTAGTTAATAGAGGATCGGGGCGTAAATTCCAAAAACGACCGGCCGGGTCGTTATAATAAATGTGATACCTAAGCGGTATATCTGTATACCTTATTGGTATATCTGTATATCTTATTCGTATCAAAATATGTGCAGAAATAGAAGTGGTACCGCAAATGCAACATTTGTACATACATCGTTAACAAAATGGGCACGTTTTGCAGCTCATGTCTGTATTGAAGTATAACAAATTGGAAGCCATTTACATGCAGTTATTGTACATCATCAGGTACATAAATATAAGGTGATACCCAAATGGTATATTTGTATACCTCACTGGTATATAGTGGTATTGCATTAATATGGCTAAAACAAAATATGCGCAGAAATACAAATGGTGCACCAAATACAACGTGATACCCAAAATGCGCACGCTTTGCAACTCATGCCAGTACTTACATCTAGTTGCTGCAGCAAAAAAGGTACTCAAATACAATGTGATACCCAAATGATATATCAGTATACCTGATTGGTATATAGTGCTACTGCACTAATATACTTGAACCAAAATCTTTGCGGAATACAGCTGGTGCAGCAATGCAAATTATGCACAAATTTTCGTAGATTCAACTACAACTAACAACTACTCTCAATATAATTTCAAGACCAGTTCACTTTCTAAAAATATTTCTTCTCATTCAAATCAATGCTCGCCCTGTTCTTCAACAAAATAACAACATAGTTCCTCTTTTTGAACATTGTAACTCCCTTAAAAATACACCTCCAAAAATAACTTCTGCTTGTGTATTACAACGAACTAATAATGCTTCTCCTACTACAAATGAAAGTAGTACTAGCAACTAACAGTGCTACTGTAACAGTCATGTTCTACACTAATAGCTTGACTTCAAGTGATGACAAAATTCTGTCACCAAAAGGCACTCCTATTAAACCAACAACTTTATGGAAGAAGCCTAAGAAAAGTCTAATAAAACAAACTGAAGATACATTCCAACATTAAAACAGTTATAGCAACATATTGTACTATTACAATTGTATTCCTAGAAAATACTTTTAAAAGCTAGCATTTTTACAATATAATAATGCAAAATACCATACATCATCAAAAACTATTAAAATCCTGCAAAGTTTTCATGCTACGATTAACTAAAACCAAAAAGAGACCTATACTACTTCTTGCGTTTCTTTCCACGAGTCTTTTTAGGTGCTACTGGAGCCTCAGATTCACTTGATTCGCCATGCAACTGCTTGTTCCTCCCATAGTGCCACAACAGTATACCAAACCTAGCTCGAAGACCATCCACATCAAAATCGGCAACAGGGATTGGAAGATCTTCAATAATATACTCAGCAAAGCATGCAACATATACTCCACAATCTCTGAAATAAAACAAATGAATAGAATATAAAAGTCAATTAGAAGTGAAAATGTTAATATGAATGAGGAAAACAAAGTAAAAAAAAGTAACTATTCTTACGAATTTTGCTGTGTTGGCAGATTTGTAATCATTTCAATCTCAAAAGGATCAGTCAACTCCTTTCCCATGTGCAGACCATTTTGTACTACAATGTCACTTCTTTGGTTATAAAATTCAATGCTAACTAGAAATAGGGGGATCAACACAGCATATGCCTCTGCCACCTTTTGAATAGATTTTTTGTGCTTTCGACTACGTAGCGAGTCATATACGTAAAAACATCTCTTGTGGATACACACCCCAATATCCAATGCCAGTTTTCTGTCAAATTAATTGGAAAAAGGACATGATCAACCTGGTGCCATGGAGTGTTGCAATACATCCTTAATCCTTTCATGTACTCCATGATATCGTCTGATCGATCAATCAAATGATCTTGTTTCCCACCTTTTACAAATTCTGTGAAAACCCTTTGAATGATATTATTAAATAGAGTATCTGTAGTTGTGACTTTGATTGGCATATTAATTCCATATTTCGCCTTCTTCCTAAGATAGTAGAATATAATATTCAAGTGCTGCAAAAAAGAGAGGAAGAAAACATGACTAACACTAAAAATATGATTGAACTACTACAACAACAAAAGTAAAAAGCAGTACACATACCGAACTAGACAGCGGCCTGCCAGAATAGTTTAAGGTATGGAAAAACATCTTATCATCAATCTGTTCAACTTCAAAGTCAAAACAAGGGTCTAGCTTTTGATCACCAGGTAAATACACTTCCCTATTTCATATAAAAGAAGATATGGATAAGAAATATAACAACAAAATTAAGAAAACATGAAAATAAAAGTACATGAAAATGAATACGCACTCTCCCAATTGCATGTTTGCTTCGACAAAGTTTGAGAATGCAGTCGTAAGCTTATAATCAACAACCACTGAAATGTCATTTACAAATGGAAATCTTCCTTTGATAACCTTCGAGGATCCCCCAACTGCACTAACACCAGATTGCCAGTCATTCCTATACGGCGACTGTTTTACAGCTGCAGGGCGCCTTCTCCGTGTGAAAACTGCAGGAGTAGTTTCAACATCTGTTTGTATCTGGACAATACTTCTTGATACCGACTGATCAGGTTTAGACTTATTTACAGCACGAGTTGTCAGTTCATTTCCAGATTGATTTACATTACGTCTCCCTCCTTGTGTAATGGCAGCAATTAGATCAAGTTGAGAATCAGTATATTCAAAATCAGAATCCAAGTGAAGATCACCCCCGTGTCGACATGAAGCTTTAATTAGAAAATGCTAGTGAATAAATAAATATACAAAGTTAAGAAATTTAGAAAAAAAGAATGAAAAGTTATATATAGAAGACATTACCAGAAGGCAAATTCACATTACTGCCACCAACATCCACTTGACCAACACCATCAACCCGACATGCTGAACACATAAAAGCATTATCAGCATAACTACTTAAATAAAAAATAAAAAACTATCAAGAACCTATCATTTACATACTAACTACAGAATTAGAAACATCAACATCGTACCCTGTGGAGCAGTATTAGACTCAATAACAACATCTGCTCGTGTCTGTACAGGGATTCCTGATGGCAGCGGAGCAGGACCCGACTTTTTAACATCATGAGATGACTGCTTATATGTTGCTTGTTGTGTAATGGCGGTGATTTGATCAATTGCAGATGCAGACAGTTCAAAGTTAGAATCCAAGCCAAAATCATGCTCATTTACGAAGGGGGCTGAAAAAAGTTTTTTTAAAAAAGGTTAGTCAATGCACAAATACATAGAGTTAAATAAATAAAAAAAGAATTAAAAAATTACATATACAACATTTTACCAGAACGCAAATCATCATTAACTACGCCATCACTTGCTGTGACGTTCTTCACATTGACACCAGTGGCACCTCCATCTTGACCAACCCCACCAAAACCAGATACTAAACATATAAAAGTATAAGCAAGAGTACTATTTTCAAAAAACAACAGCAAAAAAAAAATCAATCAAATCTGTGATTTACATACTAGAAGGTGCTTTGGGCGTGCTATCTCCAATAACTACAGGATCATTCCCAACGTGGCCACTTTCAAACTGGTCATAATCATTATGCATCTCACGAAAGTCAGGATCATTATCCTGTTGCTTATGCTGAAAATAAGAAACTAACAATTTTATTATTATACATATTACAAGAATACTACGTGTACTAAAAGTAAAGAATGGAATAGTATCCTATAGGCATATATTGCATCTTTGAACAATATACTATAGCATTATATTATATAAAAGATCAATACCGCTGAATTTCCCTCTTGTTTCATTGATTGACTACCAATAGCTGCAAGCACCTCCTCAAACTTGGTCTCTACAAAAAGCTTCAAACCTTGTAACTCCTTCATTACCTCAGCATTGGTGGGTTGGGAATCACCTCCAGTACTTTCATGCATACTTTGTGTCTTTGGTAATTGAGTGCCAAAAACCTGAAAGCTATCGGGCTGACTGTCAGTGCACTCAACTTCAATTTCAAAGTTTAGACCAGGCACATCAAATAGTTGCTTCTCATCATCAGTTGGAGTGATGTTCTTTAGCTGCAATTATTAAGCACACTAGTTAGAAATAGAAATGATAATAAAGTATGGAAAGATAAAAGATCCCTATTACCATATGATACCAATATAGTATACATGTATACCAACAGAGTATATCACTGAACTGGGATATTGCTACAACTGTGACTAAACTACTGTACCAAAAAATTAAGAGAGGCAAGGCAATAAAACTATGAGAAAATTACCTGCTCGCGTTGCAAGCTAGACATTCGCAAAGCAACTCGCTCATTCGGTATTTGACCCATGACTACCCAATTCAAAATTCGTGGAAGTTCGTTTCCAATATGATCAGCAAAGTGACCATCCAAACTTGGGCAGCATTCATACAACCAAATCTGTAAAGCCAACGGGAAGTCACCGAGTCTATAAAAAAAAGGCTTATCTTGAAACTTGTTGGAACACGAGTCAATTGTAGCGTTATAAACATCTATACCCCAGGGATAATTATTAAAATCACCGCACTCAACCAAGTCAATGTAAGACCGTGAAATAACCTTTGTTTTGAGTTGAGAAAGTAAGAAGCTGTTCACAAAATAAAGAACTGCTATCTTCAACGCATCATCATTTGTTTCCCATTTCTTCTTCTTAAAACAGTCTGCTAGTTGGGCCAATGTCACCGATGCAGTCCCAAAATATTTTGAAATCAACCTATTCTCTGCTATGCTCTCTATATTTGTATCACCTTTACATTTCAACCCAGTAACAAGTGCAAATTCACCCAAACCAAAGCGCAACCTAGAATCATTCACTACAAGCCGCATCTTATTTTTCACCTCATGATGTACTTCTCTAATAAGCAAATGGTGCATAACCCGAATCTGCACAATAACTGGTGGTAGATTCAAAAAATAGCCAAAGCATGTTTTCTTAAACAGTCGAAGTTGCTTCTTTGATAAATTTGCTTTCAATTGATAAATAACATGGTAGTTGGTATCCCAATCAACCTTTGGTTTATAATTTAAGTCGATAGGCACAAGAAAATCCCAACACTGCAAAACATGTTCATATAAATAATTTCAGAAATAGAAATCACTTAAAAATGCAACTAAACCAACTAAAAATATTACAACTACCATACGATACCAACACGACATATAACTATACCAGCAGGGTATACAATTCTACTGGCTAATTTCCGGCAACTATAAATGACTATTACATAACAGATAGGAATAAAGAGAAAAAGTAAAAAGATATGCAGCTATAAAGTATTTTTAAGATACTGTACGATACTACTATTATTAAAGGAAAAACAAATAGCGAAGACAGCCAAAAAAGGATCCAGAAGCATATAATAGTATATATCTATACTATTAGGGTAAATAGTTGTACGGTGTTATTCCAACAACTGTCTATAAGTATAAAAACTATCACACAACACACATACACTATGTCTATAGGAACAAGGGAATCTCAACAATGCAAAACATGATTATATAAATTATTTAAGAAGTAGAATACACTTAAAATTAACACAACTGACTATAACTATAATATAATACAAAAGCATAACAGGAAATCAAAAAATAACAATGCACTATACATTCAAAATCTCACATATCATAATTGTAAGAAAATTACCTTCTTGGGTGCGACACCATTTTTTTTCTTATTTAACTGAGAATCATCGCTACAATCAACATCTACTGGTTGAGTCTCTGTTGTAGGCACGGATTCACGTCGGCTTCCCCCTAACTCAGAATCCTCAACAACTTTACCTTTTCCCTTATCAGTCACAGGAACACCTCCTATGACTGGTTCGGAATTTGTGTCGGGTAATGACTGGTAGGGAGTTTCATCGACTGACGAAGTATTAATATTATTGCCTTTTCCACCCTCTAATTCTACATTTTCAGTTGTGCTTTCAACATGACTACTGCTAGGGTTACGACTAAATAGAGACTAAGAATCAGAAAATAAGGAAAGACTAGGACCAGACATGACTGAGGCATCGTTCAGCAGGTACTTGTCTTGAAGAATGATATTGTCCACGGCGACACCATCTACGCGCACAATGCTTCCGACCCATAGAGAAAATAACAACCCATAGACATTGATTCACAAAAGTACAAAGAAAAACACAAAAATCCTATTATTTTGAAAATCCACTTTCACTAAAATGTACTTTCAGAAGAAAAAATTTCACCCAAAAATAGGTACTAGACGAAGAGATAGAAAGGAATCGGAAGAAAAAATTAAAATCACGAATGTGGGTGAAATTTGCGTTTTCATGTGTTGGCTATGGAGATTTGGAAACTGTTCTCTTTAGTATAGTGTTAACCGTTAAAGGACAAAGACGGAAGCTTGGGCCGGGTGAAATAGGTGGGTTGGTCTTTAGTCTAGTGTAAAGAACGAAGATAAGGCTGACAATGGGTAACTTGGGCCGCGTGATGGGGGGCCGGGTAAATAAATTGGGCCGACTGGGCAGGAATAGTAAATAGTTTGGGTATGGGTATTAAAAGGTAAATAATTTGGGCTTAATAGGAATAAAATGAGATTTACTCGTGAAAATAGCACGAGCTAGCTAGTTTTTGGGCTAGTTATTGAAAAATAGTCAGCGTTTGCAAAGTCATTAAAAAATAACCACTATTTTGCTGCAATGCGAAAAGTTCCAGCATAATATATTGGGTATTGGTGCACCTGTGTATGAACTTCCAGCATATTATGCTGGAACTCCAGCACACGAAAAGTTCCAGCATAGTATACTAGAGATTGAAGCACCTGTCTATGAACTTCTAAAATATTATGCTGGAAGTTCACATGTAAAAAATTCGAACTCCAGTATACTATGCTGCAATATTTTTCGGAACAGTGTTTTTGTTCAAATTTATCTTTACATGAAAAATGGCAAAATTTCTATTACTTTTGAAACTGTAACTATTTTTCAATTACCACTTCTAAATCTGGCTATTTTTGAATTTCGCCTCCCATTGCATCCCTTGTTGGTGGCTATCTCTATTATTGTCATTTTCTATGAAGTTACTCTTTTTAGGACCGTAAAAATGATACTAGGTAGCCCCTTTGAGCATCTATATTTAAAATATATCCGGCTTTCAAAAAGTAGTTAAGATTTCAGCCAGTTTTGGCAAACTTCAGACAGTTCATGCTATTGTTGTTACTTCTTCATCGTCTTCTTCATACCTTGAGTCAACTTCAGACTGTAGCTCTGGAGTTAGGCTTTCATAGAGGCTCATTTCAGAGCTGACAATCTGAAGTTGATTCTAAGACGACTAAACTTAAAAAGTTTGTTAGTTTTTAATTTTTTTAGGGAATCTTTACACAAATAGCCGGCCATATTCATTGTTTATTTTTTGTAGCCATATAAATAGATTATACATCGATTATACACAATTATACATGTATAACACATAAATTACGCATATTATATGCATCCACCGGCTACTTTTAGTTTAAATGGTTGAGTGAGTGGCTATCTAGGTAAATTCTTCATTTTTAAAACGTAAAAATTACACGGGGCGCCCTATTTGGTAGCCCCCTTTTAACTTATACCCGTTTTCTTTTTCCGTTTGCATCCGTACCCATTTTTTGTTAAAAGCATTTTAAAAGGACGATTTTGCCCTTCTTTAATAAAAGACTATCGACAAACTACAGGACAAAAACTTAAGCATGTTTAGGCTAAAGCTTTAGCAAATAAACTAAAAAACTTCAGCTTGTTTAGACTGAAGTTTCGGATAAAACTCAGGACAAAACTGTAGACTGCGTTACGAAACTTCAGCATGTTTTGGTATGAAGTTTTAGCAAATGAACTAAATAACTTCAGCATGCATTAGCAAAAACTCTTTAGAAAATTACATACTGCAAGACAAAAACTTAAGCATATTTAGTCTGAAGTTTTAGCAAATGAACTAATAAATAACTTCAGCATGTTTTGTCTGAAGTTTAGCAAATGAACTAAATAACCTCAGCATGCATTAGCAAAAACTCATTAGAGAAATTACATACTGCTAGACAAAAACTTAAGCATGTTTAGTACTCTGAAGTTTTAGCAAATGAACTAAAAAACTTAAGCATGTTTTGTCTGAAGTTTTAGCAAATGAACTAAAAAACTTAAGCATGTTTAGTCTAAAATTTTAGCAAATGAACTAAAAAACTTAAGCATGTTTAGTCTGAAGTTTTAACAAATGAACTAAAAAACGTAAGCATGTTTAGACTGAAGTTTTAGCGGATGAACTAAATAACTTCAGCATGTTTAGAAGTTTCAGATAAAACTCATGACAAAACTGTAGACTGCAGGATATATAACTTCAGCATGCATTAGCATGAAGTTTTAGCTTCAATGTGAAACAATTTCGTGCTATATTAGCATGAAGTTTTAGTTTCAACATGAAACAACTTCATGCTACATCAGCATGAAGTTTTAGCTTCAACGTGAAACAACTTCATGCAAGTATGACTCCGAAGATGAATCTGGATAAGTTTCTAATTTTTTGATAAAGCTGCTGAGAGGAGAGGAGGAGATCTTTTTTCACGAATGAGGTTGCAGATAACGCGATTAATGCGTGATGCAGGTTTTATATCTTTTGTCAGGGGTGTAATGGTCATATTATTACAGATTTTTTGTCAGCTAGCTACCAAATCAATAATTTTTAAAAATAGGGTACAGCTTAAAAGGTGGCACAAATATAGAATACCGCTTCAAATCCCCTTTTTAAACAGGGTCCTAAAATCGGCTATTTGTGCATTTTTCCCCTTCGGGACCATACTAGAGGCCCAGCAGAAAAATTCCGAGGAAATGGTGGCCCAATGTCGAGCCGAAATGGTTTAAGCCTAAAACCACCCTTTTCAAGTCGCAGTATTATCCAAAATCTAAGCTTAGATTCACGATATACTCTCTCTCACACACACAATCCCGCGTATATTTCCTCTCTTCAATTCATTCCTCCCTTAATTCGAATTCCAATGGATTCCCAATCCCACCCAGTTGCTCCTTCCGAATCCCTAGCTCAAGACCCTTCACAAACCCTAAATTCATTCGAACGGTACCCTCCTCATTCAGATCCGTACTATCAAAACCCTTCGCAAACCCTAGATTCATATCCTCAAGATCCCCCACCAAGTGTTCGTGAAAACGCCCAAATGAACAAGATGAGTTCAGACAACCAGAACTTTCTAGAAAACTCATCTCATGAGAACCAAGCTCATGCAGGTGATAATTCGGTTCAACACCAGCTGTCATTGGAGCAAAATCAGGTCGACCCAAATTCAAATTCGGATCCTATGTTGCAGAAGCCATTGTTGTCGGAAAATGGGTTGACTAATAACACTCATAGTGGTGCAGAGAGGGACCAATCAGGGGGCGAAGAGGAAACGAGCAGTAGGAGGAGGAGGAGGAGAAGCCGATGGGACCCACCTCCGACTGAGGATGGTACTGAAAATGATGGAAGTGGGACGGGACGAAAGAGGAAGTCGAGGTGGGCGGATGATGAGCCGAAGCCTGTGATTCAGTTGCCCGATTTCATGAAAGATTTCGCTGGAGGTATTGAATTTGATCCTGAAGTACAAGCTCTTAATAGTAGATTACTTGAAATTAGTAGGAAATTGCAATCTGGTTTACCTTTAGATGATAGACCTGAAGGCGCTCGTTCGCCTTCCCCTGAACCTATATATGATAATATGGGCGTACGTATAAATACTAGGGAGTATCGTGCCCGAGAGAAATTGAATAGGGAGAGACAAGAGATTATATCGCAGATAATAAAGAAAAATCCTGCCTTTAAGCCACCGGCTGATTATAGGCCTCCTAAGCTTCAGAAGAAGCTTTACATTCCTATGAAGGAGTACCCGGGTTATAATTTTATTGGGCTGATTATTGGGCCGAGAGGGAATACTCAGAAGAGGATGGAGAAGGAGACGGGAGCGAAGATTGTGATTCGAGGGAAAGGGTCAGTTAAAGAGGGGAGGTTACAACAGAAGGGGAATTTGAAGCATGATCCTGCGGAGAATGAGGATTTACACGTGTTAGTGGAAGCTGATACTCAGGAGTCGCTTGAGGCGGCTGCAGCTATGTTGGAGAAGCTTTTGCAACCTGTCGATGAAGTACTTAATGAGCATAAGAGGCAACAGCTCAGGGAACTTGCAGCTTTGAATGGAACGATTAGAGATGAGGAGTTTTGTAGGCTATGTGGTGAACCGGGTCATAGGCAGTATGCTTGTCCTTCTCGCACCACCACGTTTAAGAGTGATGTTCTCTGCAAAATATGTGGTGATGGGGGACATCCCACTATAGATTGTCCAGTGAAAAATACTACTGGAAAGAAAATGGATGATGAGTATCAGAACTTCTTGGCAGAATTGGGAGGGACGGTTCCTGAATCGTCAAATAAGCAGAGCTCAGCGACCCTAGCTCTTGGTCCTGGAAGCACAGGCAGTAATCCTCCTTGGGCCAGCAGTAATAATGGTGGTGGTGGTGGTAACACGTCACACCCTGGATTAGGGTCAAATATAATCAAGCCAAAAGAGTATGATGAGACAAACTTGTATATTGGTTATCTCCCCCCTACTCTGGATGATGACGGTTTGATTAATTTATTCTCTCCCTTTGGTACCATTGTGATGGCTAAAGTTATAAAGGATCGTCTCAGTGGTCTTAGTAAAGGTTATGGTTTTGTCAAGTACGCAGATGTTCAACAAGCTAATAGTGCTATTGCGGGCATGAATGGTCATTGTCTTGAAGGGAGAACTATTGCTGTGAGAGTTGCGGGTCAACCCCCTCAGCCTACTGTGCCTCCGGGCCCTCGTGCTCCAGCAATGCCCACTTATCCTGTTCCTCATCAGGCTGCCGGACTCTATCCGTCTCAGCAGTATGCGGCTGGTGGTCCCATTGGCACTACTCCCCCTGGTGGCTATGCTGGGAATCCAGTTCCTTGGGGACCACCTGTACCTCCACCATATGCCTCTTACCCGCCTCCTCCTCCTGGCTCAACCATGTATTCTCCTGGTCCAGGTCAATTTGTTCCTCCATATGGTGCACAGTATCCTCTACCAATGCCCCCGCCATCTTCTGGTGTCCCTGCTCAAACCGTTTCTTCTGGTGAAAACCAACAAAATTACACCTCTTCTGGCGAGACACATCAAAGTTATCCTCCCGGAGTACAATCACATAATGGTGCACCTGTTCAATCTCTGCCCACCTATGCCTATGGCAATTCTGTCACTGCAATGCCACACAATGCCCAACCTGCATACCCAACATCTTCATACAGCTATCCTTCTTATTATGGCATGGCACCACCACCTCCTCCAGCTGCATCGCAGTCCAATGTGGATCATTCACAGAGTATGAGCAATGTTCCCTGGGCCTCAAATCCACCAGAACCTGCACCTGCACCTCCACCTCCGCCTCCACCATCATCCTCAGAGAAACCTCCCTATGGTACTGATGCAGAATATGAAAAGTTCATGGCAGAGATGAAATGATGATTCGCAATGTTTCATTGTATTGGCTTGCAGTACAAGGTATGGAAGTGTTTCATTCGCAATGTTTTGTTGTGTGTACAGTTTGGTTTTCACTTTTCATAGCTATCTACATATGTATACACTCGTACCCACACTTACACTGGGACAGCGTGATTTCTTAGCAGCCTATTTGTTGAGGAGAATTATTTATTTTTATCGCAGCTGATGATAAATCACTTCTTTTCCACCTTTTAGGAAAAATGGCCCTTGGAGGTGGTGGGCGGTTATTCTTTTATATAAGGCATGCACTTTATGCTTTCGGTATCTAACCTCTTCAGCATATTTTGTGAATTCATTTATCAACTCCTCCACTTCCAGAGAGTTTCCCCGGAAAGAAAAAAGTATTGACGAGAAGGAAATAGAAAGTACGAAACCTAATTTTATAGTTGATTAGCCATGTCCATTTCACATTGTTCATTTCCTTTTTGAGTTGTTGCAAGTGTGCAGATGGGGATATTCTACCTGGACAAGTATCTATTTTCTAGAGTTTGGTCCTTCTGTTCCACTTGTTGGAGTTTGACGTCTTTCGAGATTTCTTCATCTTTTTCTTTTTCCCCTAGTTTGAAAAATCCTTATTTTAATTTGGTTTAATGTATTAAAGAAGTGAGTGCATTCTTTGATGATTTGATCTTAACATGTCTCCTTTGTTGATGTTGCCATATTTGACAGGCTGATTTGTTGGAGCACTTCACCTGATTTCTTACCTCTTGCCATGTCTTACTCTTTGGAAGTTTCGGACTCACATCTTTAACCTTGCTGTACTATTATGACATTTGCAGAGAGATGAGGAGTTTGGTTATAGTTTTGGAGCTGAGGTCTTTTGTCGTAGCTGCCTAGCATATCATTTTCGAACTTCTTAATTATTTTTTGTTGGAATTTCTTGATGACTGACTGACTGACATTTTTGTGTCTGTTATGTTTTTTCTCGACTTACATATTCACTGCTTATCAATTTTGGTTCTCTGCTAACTGGTCTTCGCTTTTAGCTTTCTCTACTAATTTAACTATGAATATTCAGACAGCAGCCTGATGCTTGCCTCTGCTGTTTCTCTCCAGAAGGTGATGCATCTTCAAAATGTGAAGATCCTCAGGGTATGTGACTCGATTGACTACTACATTCACATGTCTCTGGATTAACTCTTTGTTATTTCATTCTGATATATTTTCCAGATGTCTTGTGACAGGAAGATGGTTGTAGTGGAATGGGCCTTCCTATTCTGCACTGATTTCTTTTATTTACTTGTTTGCCTCATAGATAGTTGTATTAAATGAAACCTTGTTGGCTTTATTCGGTCATGGATTAAGCAATCAACATGGAGCTCACTGGAGGGATTAGAAGCCTAGGGGGGGCTGTACATAATGATTCCTGATTAATTCCCTTAGTATATTTTATCCTAGCAGTAGTAGACTATGTTTTTCATGTCGGAGTGGGTGTTAACGGGTGAAGGATTACTTGATTTAGCTCTTTGTTAAGAGGGAAGAGCGTATTTTCGTAAAAGGTAGCAATCACTTAGAATGTGGATTGATGCTTTCAGATGGTTTTGTGGTTGTGAAGTCTTGGAGAATAAGGAGAAGGTTAACATAGTACCCTTAATGACATAATTTTATCGCTATAGAAACGTCATGGTATGTTTTTGAGACTACAAACTTCAAAAAGTCAAGTCTTTCTTTCTTAGATTCAATGTTCAATCAAACACTTTCATATAGCATGAAACAGATGGAGTATATGTTTAGGGGCCTTCTTGTGAACATGTTGAACGCATCCCAGAACCTGTCTTTGTTTGAAGTTATCTTACCTAATTCTTCTCTTCAGTATTTACCTGCTATTCCAATCATTTTATAAAGAATTGTTCAGAGTATTAAAATTAGCACCCATGAGTTTTAACAATATTTCGAGTGTACAAATTGTTTTAAATTTATTAGGAATATTTTTAAACTATAACTAATGACGAAATGAAACTCATTTACTGATGACTTGGGTAAAATTTAGTTGGAATGAAACTGGTATAATTAGCGTAAGATATAAAGTAATCATGCAGTCCACTTTGTTATTATATTACATTGTTGTTACTACTGTTTGTTGCTTGATTGCCTTCTTTTCGTTGTTTCTTGAGCCGAGACTTCTCAATCTTTATAAGGTACGGTTGAAGTCTGCGTATACACTACCTTCCCGAGACCCTACTTATAAGATTACATTGGCTGTTGTAGTCCATATAAGGTTTGGGTAAGGTCGGCGTATACACTATCCTCCTTAGACCCTACTTATGAGATTATACTGTGAGTGTTTATACTGTGAGTGTCCAACTTAGCTTGGAGATTTCAAGAATCGACTAAGACTTGAAGTCTACTCGGTTCAAATTTTATCCGATCAAATTATCTAAAACCTGTTAGAAGTAGGATAAAAGATAAATTGAATAACTAATATAGCAACATGAAGATGCTCCTTGGCTGATTCAAGGATTCATATAGGGAGATCTTTGAAAAAAAATACTTACTAGATTGTCATGTCTAAGATTTGAACATATAATCTAAACTAACTTTTAGACCCCTTATGTTATTATTGACTATACTAGAATCTCTTTTTATGTTAAGGGAATCTAGCAGTTGGTATATAGCCAAAAAGAAAATTCTTTTTGCCTATTTATATGATGTAATTTTTCAGCAAGGTAAATATGATTAAGCCTGCTTGCCTGGTAGGGTATCAATGGAGATCTTAAAATTGACTAAATTGATCGAACCGTGCTGTACTGAATCAATTTTAATGTTTTTTTAATAAAATCGTAGGTTCTTATATAAATTTATAATCGTATCGATAATCAGGATAGATCTTTTATTTCATGAAAATAAATTGAGAAAATACCGGACTGTACCGAATAAATTTACATGTAAAAAATATTAAATTTAAAAATAATAAAGCATTATATTTTTCCTTGAGCCTTGAATTATGAAATAATTATAAGTCAAGTAATTAAACTCAAAATTCTAAATCTCAAACCTATTATGCTATTCTTATTAAACTAAATTATCTCCAGCATATTCACTAGCAAGACACAAGGTATTGTGGTGATGATGAGTAGCAACCCTTTCCTTTCTTTTTGTGGAAAGAAATTATGGTCAAGTAAGCAAAATATGTCATGATTCTAGGAGTCTATTTATCGCGTATAGACTAACTACAAAGTATTGAATATGTTTTTTTTTGTATGATTAAAATTTATCTCTTTAAACATTTAATCTTCTATAGACTTTATTCTTGAGTCCCAACTTGATTAATATCTTTTTACTCGTATGATTTATATTTTTTTGTATTTGCGTAGTTTTTTTTATGCTGCTGTAGAATAGTTGATGGATTTATACTCTGGCCATTTTTTTTATTTTCTTAATATATCACCCTTTAAACTGTAAAAATGTTAGGGAGTTTTGCTAAGTCCTATAAAAGTACGTATGTTATTGCATTCTACTTATACTAGTGACATTTACATGACATTTTAAAAAATATCGAAAATTAACCGAATCGTATCGAACCCGATATGATTGAGACGGTTTCGAAAAGTTTAATTTTGGTTATACATACTAGAATAACCGAAAAATTGATATGGTATAAATTTTATAAATAACCAGCCGAACCGTGCCATTGACACCCCTACCTAACTGTACCCCTACCTAACTGTTCTTCTAAAGATATCAAGTAGTTGAACGAAAAAACAAGAAAAGGACCAACTACCATGGCCGTTGGTTCTTGAAGTAACAACATGAAATCTTTTACATGAAAAATAATATTTGTATGACCCTATCCTAAAAGGACAAAGCACCTTTTTGTTGGGGGAAGTGTACAGTTAGCCCGTGATAAGATATGTATTTTCTTTTAAGCCTCTGTTTAAAATGTCTTTAGTGTTTAGCCACTGCTTTAATAAACTTTATATCCGTCCGGACGAAAATAGCCTTCTGCTCATAAAGTTCAGGACCAAATATCCTTAACTTATGATCTTGTTACTGTAAGTTCAGGACTAGTTGTCCTTAATTTATAAGTCTGAGTTTAGGACTACCTGTCCTTAACTTTTGAACTTGTAATTGTAAATTTAGGACTACATGTCCTTAACTTTTGAACTTGGAACTCGAAGTTCAAGACTACCTGTCTTTAATTTTTGTGCTTGTAACTCTAAGTTAAGGACTACATGTCCTTAATTTTGGTGCTTGTAACTCTAAGATAAGGACCAAGTGTCCTTAATTTTTGAACTTCCAACACTAACTTTAGGACTAAGTGTCCTTAACTTATGAGCTTGTTACTGTAAGTTCAGGACTACACGTCCTTAACTTTTGAACTTGGAACTGAAAGTTCAGGACTACCTGTCCTTAATTTTTGTGCTTGTAACTCTAAGTTAAGGACCAAGTGTCCTTAATTTTTGAACTTCCAACTCTAAGTTCAGGACCAAGTGTCTTTAATTTATGAGCTTGTTCCTGTAAGTTCAGGACTAGATGTTCTTAATTTATGAGCTTGTACGTCTAAGTTAAGGACTATTAGTCCTTAACTATTCCGATAACCGAGGACACAATCTCTTTCGTTTTTCTCATCCTGAAAAATGAATCTTATAATAAACATTTGTGCCAAGCTCAAGAAAAAAGATAAAAGAATCATATTGAGTATTGACTAGTTTGGAACATGAATCATTTTAACATTAGAACTTCCAACTGAATCCACTTGAGAATGAGAAGAAACGCAGTCGCAGGTATAAACACTGCATTTCCGTTTGGGAAGGAAAAGAGATAGAAGAAAGGGTAACACCTTTTCATATTAATTATAATAGACTTGGGGCTAATTTTGCTCAGCATTAAAAATGCTGGATAAAAAGTAAATACCATTTTAAAAAGTGGCTACCCCACGCAATTTTTACCTTTTTGTGCATGTACTGTGCTAAATTAAGTAAAACTCGAACTTTTAAGCACAAACTCGTGGAAAGCATTTCTCTGGATTTTTGATTGTTTGATCTATTTTTTGAAGAGACTAGTTTTAAGGTACGCGCTTTGCGCGTGTACCCTATATCAATAAGCATGAAGCTGAATAGATTATTTAATATTATTAAATTATTCATAACATGATGTGTTATTATCAAGTGCCATTTTGAGGTATTTGTAGATTTAATGTTGAGTTAAAGAGTATAATAATTATGAATAATTAGTTAATTTGATGTATTTTTATTTTAGTGTATATTGAAGAAGGGTTTAATTAAAGGGTAATGGACATATATACTCAAAGAATCAAGTATAACTTTTCACAAAGTCTTTCTCTAAATTTTTATTTAAGATGATTAATTTATATAACATACTTGATTTTACTTCTAGGAGTAGTTGTAAATCTAAAGAAATCGAACGAGTGGGAGCCAAAGCAGAAAACGTAAATAAACAGAAGGGACAAGTATATAACGCATTAACTATAGTGAGACTCTCATCTTTTACTACACCCAACCCAATGGACAACACACCCAAAATACCTAACATACCACCGGAACCACCGGACTCAAACCATATGGAGGAAGATACTTCCCAAACACACTCCTACAAAGAAATGCTTCTTGACAAACAGGACACCTTACAAACAGACTACTTTGTATCGGATCTTGAAAAGCCAGAATTTGATCTAAAGGGCAATGAAAATCTAGGCCCAATTCTTCTCTCCCAAGAGGACAAAAGTAGATTATATGAGCTATGGCGTTTCTCAGTCATCATTATACTTTTTGGCCGGCGTATGCCACATTATCTTCTTCGATCCCAATTAATTAAACTATGGAACCCATCCGAACAGTTAATCTTGATTGACCTAGGATGGGATTTCTTCATAGTCAAATTTAGTAAGGAAGAAAATTTGATCAAGGCTATACACCAAGGCCCATGGTTCGTATCCAGGAGTTTCCTCTCTGTCAGACAGGTGGGAACCAAAATTTGTCCCACAAGAATCCACCCTATCCTTCACTGCGATATGAGTACGACTTCCCCAGCTGCCCACCGAATTCTATGACAAAGAAGTTCTAGAAAAAGTTGGCAGGAAGCTTCTCAAAATCGATACGTGCACCTCAGCAACGCTAAGGGGGAGATATACCAGAATGTGCATTCAAGTTCCACTGGAATCACCAGTCGCAACTGATTGTCTATGAAGGTGAGAACATCCTATGTACAGGATGTGGAAGACTAGGTCACATCCTGAGAGGGTGTTCACACAGGCAAAAACCCAACTCACCACCGGCACAGGACATCCCAGGCTGCTCCAATACTAAAGCAAATAGTGACGAAGAAGAGGAATGGAAAACTGTATCCTTCCCT